AAAATCCTTGAACGCATTGGTAACGCCTACCGAGTAAAGCTACCTGAACAGATAAAAAAATACATGATGTATTTCATGTGTCAACTCTTCGAAAATATATTCCAGATTCCTCTCATAGACTAATAGAGGCATGAACTGATATTCATCCTGATTTGACTTGGGAAGAAAAATCGGTCAAAATATTAATGAGGGATACTAAGAAGCTTTCGCAAGAAAGAAATACTCTTAGTTCGTGTCTTATGGCAAAGTAAGGTCATTGAAGAAGAAACTTGGAAAAGAGAGGACGAAATGAAAGCTCAATACCCCGAACTCTTTGATTAAGGTAATTTTGACTAGAGTAATTTCGAGGGCGAGATTCTTTTGAGGAAGGGGGGGAGGGGGGGGGGGGATAACGATTATTCCATATTTATACTTTTTATTGTGATGAACATTTCATGTAATATAGTAAAGAGTTATGTTAATAATACTATAATTAATTAGATAATTGCCATGCGGAAATATAGAGGGTATAAGGTGGCTACCCTATACATAACATCTTGCCACACTAAATACTTAAGTGACAAATGGCATAATAGGGTTTAAGGTGGCAAAGTAATGATTAAGGAAAAATAAATAAATTATTAAGTAAATTTCTAATTACCATTATAAATAGGGGAGAAAGAGATAAAGAAACACACAACAAATTAAAAACCAAACTACTAAGGAAAGCATTGCAACTTGAAGGTGGGTAATCTATGTCCATTTCTATTTCCAAGCATATATTATAATTATGTTTATTGAATAACCACTTTTTTTAAAGTTGATTATAGATTCAAGATTCTACCTATTGACTTTGCATTGAATATTTACATTTTATTGGATATCCCTTGATATGATCATTGATTATACACCAAACTGGTGTAATTGATTAAAGAGCTTATATATTGTTATTCTCAATTTGTACGCACGGGTAGAATTGAAAATCTATACTTGGGCCATTGTTTTCCTTACTTTATTGCAAAAATGGAAATAAAATGGTATGACTTACTCGCTGAATAAGTGTATTCACATTATATGCTTATCAATTTTTTTTGTATATGGTCATTACTGAATATATTGACCTTATTTCGTACAAATGGGTTACCTCGGAAGACGGCCAGTATTGCATGTATGTTAAGGAAGTCCACACGTGGATAACATATCCAGAATTTCTAAGGTTCCATCGTTTCGCAGGCTACCACTATTACATGGACTACTTCGAGGAGGCTACTATGATGTACCTAGTTACAGTTAGTTTTCCTAGGGAATAAACATGTCTATGTAATCTTTATGTAATATAATGGTACAAATTGTTTAGTTATGTACAGTACGTAATGCAACTTTTGCCTAGTCGCTAACATGTTTTGTTGTAACAAAGTATATAATAAATTTTTTTTTTAACTACCTTATAATTGGTGTTATATATATATATATCTTTCAAAGGTCAATGTTTAAGAAACAATAAAATATATATTGATATTGAAATCCCTACACTAGAACTGCCAAATAGTTCTCTCAAATCACAAAATTTCAAAATTTCTAAAATTTCTATACATAAATTCTAAGTAAGAGACGAGACTAGGAGATTACAATTATGGAACATTTGGGAGGTTACATTCTCAGTCACAAGTTGCGACGCATTTCTCACATAGAAAACATTCTAATTTGAAACATGCTATTTCTAGAAAAATTGTATTCACTTGATTAGCTTTTCAACACACTTTGGAATTTCAATCGGATATCGGAAGAGAAAGTTTTGATGAAAACGCTGAAGGTTGCTCAAAGGATGCTCGCTGGCCGCTTCAAGCGAAGATTCGACGAGCAGAAATTCTAAATCGGATAAAACTGTTATTTTTCTACCCCAATCAACCTAACATACTTCCATTGTAAATATACAATCCATTGAATATCACAAGATGTATTGAATCATTATATTCATTATAAAGATCACATTTTTGAAAATCAACGACAATTCCAAAGATCTCTAGATTCAACCACTTGATCATTGCTTCATAAATTCGTCCTAAAGATTGTTTTATTATTGGTTGAGCCATATGTTAAATCAAGAAATTGTTATTTGAAGATCAAATCCATATTCCAATATTCTATTGCCTCAGCGAAAGATCAAAACACAAGAGATCATTAGATCAAACACCAAACAAAACCTTACCTTCTCCAATAAGTCTTCACAGAGTTCCGAAATTTGGGAAAAGGCGCTGGGAGTTCCAGCACTCTAGAACAAGTTTAACTCTTGTTGATCCACACGGAGAGAAAAGCAACTCAGAGTTCTACGAAGTGCATGCATGCACAAGTTCCTTTATGATTTACAAGTTAAGTGATCATAGTCAGCTAATGTTTAGTCGTGTCTGTGACTAATTGTAAGTTAACTTTTTTAGTAGTTCTTTTTTGTAAGGTTTGTCCAAAGGCTTTTTATCCTTGCAAAGGGTTCTTCAAAAGATTTTCTTTCGTCATCATTTTTGGTATTATTTACTTTTTATTGCTTTTGATCTGCATGCTTAATTGATTGATAAATAGGTTTAATTGGAAATACTATAATTTATGAATAATAATAAAAAAATAATTACAAATAATAGTCTATAGTATTTATTTGGAGTAAAACTATTTTTGTGGAATCTATAACGGAGTTATGAGATTTGTAGAAAGAAAATATGAGTTCTCAAATTACGTGACCGTTTGTGATATTAGAGAGGACGTAGGTAGCTTAGAGTAATAAAAGACATTACCATCAATATTGTTAAGAGTGCACAATGTATTTTTGTTTTCTATATAACGGAAGTATGTCTTAGACACTTATCTTGTCCTAAACTATGAGTCACTGAATCACCACAAGGATAATGGTAAGGAACTTGTAAATATCAAAAAGAGTGAAGACAAGGAGTGCTCAAGAAAGATGATAACTCTAATGTAGGTATTTCAGAGAAACAATGTTATAGAATCAGCAATTTCAAACGGGAAGAATAGATACATGACAATTGACAACTACTTGAATTTATTTGTTTGTTGGAATTATTCTATTATGTGGGCTTCAATTTGATTGCAATTTTTACGGGTTAGATGTATGATTTGCAATAATACTGTGATTAGGGCCAATAAGTTAGTGATTGCTTGGGCTATTGTACGCCTTACGGGCTATATTATTATAATGTGGTAATTTTAAGTATGTGGCCGGAATTAAGTAAACCATAATTAGGGTTTGAGTCGATAATGGGCCGACTTTATGATTTCCTATATAATGGCTAGGTCCTCTCTCCTCTCTATATCAAATTGGCTTGCTTCATTGACGGATGATTTTTTTGAGGAGCAAGGAGAGGAAGATCTAACTGGTAATATCCACACACACAAAATATCCTCCGCATGTATGAATTTTAATCTACCAATTTAGAATACGTAATTCTTGTTTTTAGCATGATTATTGAAATAATTATAACAATTGGTATCAGAGCAACATGCTAATATTTGAAATTTTGAATCCTTTAAAAAGAAAAAAAACTGTGGCTCCAATTAATTGTTTTTTGCCTACTGTCTCTTCCGTCTATGTGCACTTGCCTCTTCTTCTTCTTCTTCTTCTTCTTTTGAAAGTGCATAAACTTACAGAATTCTCCTTCCAAGGTCATATTGAGGATAGGAATAAATTCATCAACACGACAACATTAAAAAAAAAAACCACGATTCTTCATATATTGGGGGAAAGAGAGTAAATCCATGACTGGTTATATATATTTATTTTTCCTCCAACCGTCTGTGTGTACTGAATCCATGCATATGCTATTGTTAATTTTAACCTTTCATCCTATGGAACTTATTTTTAACCCTTCACGTTCTTGATTGTTCCTCTATTTAATCTGCAAGAATTATTTTTGGTTGAGTTTAGAAAAACAGCTTATTATATGTCAGCCAGTGTCTCTTTCTTTTTGCTGAAGCTACCTCTCCAAATCACAATGATTTGTTCTTGATTGCACCAGCTGATTTATTGTCAACTTACATAAGATAACTATGTATGTTTTTTTTTTCTTTACTGCTTTTGAGATGTGAGCTGAAGGGGAATTTGGGGGTTGGTCGGAGGCGGGAGCTTTACGTGCAATTATGAAATTGTGAGCCCTTCCTAGCAATTAACATTTAAGGGGCCAGTTTGCAATTTTAAAAGGAATGACCTACACTGTAATTTTTAAATTGTGGGGTTCCTTTTAATAATTTTAAATCTATGGTATTCGAGAATTGTAAAAGGGGGTTTTAAAGTTATATTTTAAATGGAATTGACATATATGTATTTCAATTTTGACCATATATATATATATAATTTTTTGAAATATTTTAAATGTCGTTGCTATTTGTCCATTTAAATTTCATTTTTATATATTAAAATTTAGTTGCCAATTTCGTTTCACAATCGTGCATGAATTTTGCTTTTCGTCGGTTGATAATTGTGATTATTATTATTATTGAATTTTTTCGTGGACTTTAAGTATGTCTTAGTGCTCCCATTAAAAGAAATATTCTGAAATAAAAATGGGTGGTAGCTACCAAAATGGCACACTCATTTTTATTTATTTGGTTTTCTTCAAAAAGATAAATAAAAATTTGGACATTAACATCGTAATTTTAAATTATTATATATAGTATCTTACCCAAAGGTGTTATTATATATAATATTTTTGGAAATTGGCATAAGACAGTTAACGTTTTTAATTGGTCTAGAAATCTCCTTCTGCCCAAAGGTGTTGGTATTTCGAAAACCAATCTATTTTATTAACTAACTTGATCGTGTGTATTAAGAGTACCTTATAGCGTGTTATATTGTCAGTCCAAATGTGACTTTATAATGATGCATCTAGGCTCTTACCGTAATAATGATTCATTTGGTTTCGACTTTAATTACGGACCATCTAATTAGTAGCCCATGTCAATTAGATGAATATGTTATCATCCATGTCGGCATGCACTATGTTTGGATGATATTAAACATGTTATTTTATGTTTCCACAATTTTAAATGCCTCATTTCTTTCTAGTCAATTGTCTGATATTGAAACCTTGATTGAGAATAATTATGTGAGATGGAAACGAGACGTAGAAATAGCACTTGATCTTTTGGGGTTGGATTTTGCAATGGAGAAGCAGCTTTCGAAATCCACAGATAAAAGCGAGCATGAAAAGTGGGAAATAGTTAATAGACTTTGTTTGAAAATTATTAAGCACTCCATATTCGATTCCATTATGGGTGCTATTCCAGATAATGAAAATGCTAAAGGTTTAGTGGATGCTATAGGAATGAGATTTGTTGAGTATGATAAAGCTGAAACTGGAGATATGATGGACAAATTGATAAATATGAGATATGCTGGTGCAAGTGGAACTTTGGCCTTTGTTTGTTTTGAGTATTCTTTTGTGGATGTTCCTTTATAGTCTTGGTGGTTGGACTCGAGAGCCAGTAGTATTCTTATTGCGAATTTCTTTGGAGTCTGGTTTCTCTCTTGTTTTAGGCTTCTTTTGGTAAAGTCTCTTTTGTTGTGAATATGTCAAAAAAGGTCTCTAATTCGTGAATCATCCTCCATGTTACGGCATTAGAGTTTGGATCACATTTCAATGGATATGATAGAGAGATTGGTTAAAGTTGAGATACCTTCCTCTCTCTCTTTCAACTTCTCTGATTTTGACACTTGTGTGGATTGTATAAGAGGAAAGTTAACTAAATCCACTAGGAAAGGTTTCACTATGAGTGATTTTAATGTAGGGCATATTGTTGACCCTGTTACTTTTAATCAAGTATTGATAAGTGCTGAGTCACATAAATAGATAAATGCTATGAATGATGAAATAAATTATATGTGCTGAGTCACATGTTGAACTTTCTCCGGATGCTAAAGCCATAGATAACAAGTGAATTTTCAAAAGCAAATTGGATTTAAAAGGGAATGTTGAACGAAAGAAGGTGAGTTTGATTGCAAAAGGATTCACTCAACAAGAGGACATTGATTATAATGAAACTTTTTCACCTGTTTCGTCCAAAGATTCTTTTTGAATAATCATGACACTTGTAGAGCATTATAATTTGGACCTTCGTCAGATGGATGTTAAGACGGCTTTTCTAAATGAAGATCTTTCGGAAAGGGTTTACATGAGACAACCTGAAGGTTTTGTTGTGAAGTGAAAAGAAACTTGGTATACAAGTTAAATAAATCTATATATAGCCTCAAGCAGACTACGCATCACAGCTAACCACCTAAAGTAAAGAAAATCAAAGCTCGCCCCCAAGGATGGAAGAGTCAATTATTAAGCTTTGCCAGAAGAGTTACACTCATCAAGTCAGTCACGTCAGGCATGACCAACCACTTCCTTAGCTTCTTCACAATCCCGACAGCAGCAACTAATAAATATAGAAGCTCTCCAAAAGAACTTTCTATGGTCAGCATAAGAAAGGAAGAAGCTTCACCTAGTCAACTGGGAAACTATATGCTAGTGGTATTTGAAATTTTCGAGGTTATAACTTCTCTTGGTTTTGTTGAAAGTACAGTTGATAAATGTATTTATCTTAAAATCAGTGGAAGAAATTTTATTTATCTCGTCCTGTATGTTGATTACATTTTACTTGCAAGTAGTGACTTAAAGTTATTTCACGAGACAAAGATGTTATTTTTTAATTTTGAAATTAAAGACCTTGGAGAAGCTACTTATGTACTTGACATTGAAATACATCGTGATAGAAATCGTGGCGTGTTGGGACTTTTTGAGAAGGTTTATATACGACGTTTTCTAGAAATGTTCAATATGCAGAAATGTGCACTTGGTGATTTACCTATCATAAAATAGGATAAGTTTAACAAAGCTCAATGTCCAATGAATGAGCTAGAAAGAGAATCTATGAAGATGATTCCATATGCTAGTGCTATTGGGGGTTTTGATGTACGCTCAAGTATGCACTAGACCGGATATAACTTATGTAGTCAGTGTTCTTAATAGATTTTAGTCGAATCCAGGGGAAGAGCATTGGAAAGCGGCTAAGAAAGTTATGAGATACTTAAAGAAAATGCTCACTTTCTAGTGTTCAAATCACCTTGAGGTGGTAGGCCACTCACATTCTGATTTTGCTGGATGTCAAGATGATTTGAATCAACCTCGGGTTATATTTTCATATTGGTTGGTGGTGCCATCTCATGGAAAAATGATAAACAAAATCTAGTGGCATCTTCTACTATGCAGGCTGAATTTGTGGCATGTTATGGAGATACAATTGAAGCCATTTGGTTAAGGAATTTTATTTTTGGGCTGAAAGTTGTTGACTCCATCTCGAGGCCAATAATTATTTATTGTGATAATAGCACATCAGTATTCTTTTCAAGAAACAATAAAATTCCAATGGATCGATACACATTGACATCAAATATTTGGTGGTTAAAGACGAAAATAGAGCATATCGATACAGAGGCAATGATTGCAAATCCTTTTGACTAAGGCACTCACTCCTAATGTTTTTACGACATACGTTGCTTATATGGGTATTGTGAAAATTTTTGATGTTTTTGGTTAGTGGGAGTTATTTATGTAAGACAACCCATATGTTCTTCGGGTACAGCATCTTCTAATAATAATATATGTTTTTCCCTATCCATAAAATATTTTGTGCATACATTTGATTTATGTCTTTTATTATGATATCATTTTGATCTCAAGATATGGCAATTAAAGATATAAGATGAGTCTCTTTTGAGACATGTGGCTTCATTTTGATTAGAAGCATTTTTGAGGATCGATATGAATTTACACAGTTTTGATCACATTTGGTGCTAAATTCGTACTGTATACTACCACATTGGTTGGAGGATGGGGATCCATGTCGATAAGGATGTTGACATTTGTAGCTGTGGAGTGGTCTTACATCGTTTGATTGGTGTAACGACTTCCATGTTCGATATCAACATTTTTGTTAGATCGGATCATGTTGTGTAAGGTGTTATTATTGCAGCTGTACTTGTATGGCCACCTATGTAGTCTGACTCGAATGTTAGAATTTTTCCGGATGTTAGAATTTTTTCTATAGCAATCAAATGTTTGCCCAAGTGGGAGAATGTTGGAATTATTCTATTATGTGAGCTTTCATTTGATTGCAATTTTTACGGGTTAGATGTATGGTTTGCAATAATACTGTGATTAGGCCTAATATGTTAGTGATCACTTGGGTCGTTGTACACCTTACGGGCTATATTGTGGTAATTTAAGTATGTGGACTGAAATTAAGTAAACCCTAATTAGGGTTTGAGTCGATAATGAGCCAACTTTATGATTTCCTATATAATGGCTATGTCACATCTCCTCTCTATATCGAATTGGCTTGCCCATTGACGGTCGATTTTTTTTAGGAGCAAGGAGAAGAAGATGAAGTTGGTCATATTCACACACACAAAATGTCTTTCGCAGGAATGGATTTTAATCTACCAATTTAGAATACGTGATTCTTGTTTTTAGTATGATTATTGAAATAATTACAACATTAATTTCGAGGACGAAATTTATTTTTTAACGGATAGGATTTTGTAACGCCACATTCTTATTTTTTGTGAATTTCATGACTATATTAATTAGTTGCATTTATATTATATTTATTGTTGAATTATTATAATTATTGTAATCGTGACTAACTATATTGGTAGCAGTGAAATGCATTTGAGACGTCCTAGATAAATCACGTGCCCATTAATTCAATTACAATGTCTATGTTTTATTTAATAATATACTTTATTCGATTTTGTATAGGAGTTGGAAGATATCCGTTTTAAGGACTAAATAAGTTAATAGGCTAATTGGGTATTATTATTACTTAATTAGAAGAAATTACACCCCATTAAATGTCATTAGAAATTAATATCCTCCAATTTTTTCATCCCCTTACAAGAAAGCCAAGAAGTTGGCCATCCCCAAACCACATGTCCTCTTTTTCACATTCCTAAAATCGAGTCTCGCGTCGGATGATAAGGTATTAAGATTTTCTTTTCTTTTATGTTTGCTGTATGTATGTATGTAGGTATATTGCAGTTATCTATTTTGTCATAGTTAATGACTTGTAACAACTTACTCCATAAACAGAGATTATGAATTGTATTCTTATAGCATGTTTGAGCCCCATTTTTGGCAAAAACCGTATTTTAGAATAGTAATTTGATGAAGAATGTGTGGTGGTTAAAAAATAAGAAATAATTTTCCATTTACATATAATATTATTTTATTGAAGAATATGTTGTTGAAAATAAGAAAAAGAAAAATTTATTTTAAAAACAATGGGAACCGATCAAGGACTCAATTAAACATTGATGATACTACCCTTTTAATTGATTTACATAAATTGTTAATCTAAAATGGGAAAAATTTATAAATAAGATGTTTAGTTTATACCAATTCAAAAATCATTTTGAAAATTCAAAAATCAGGTTTTTTTTTTTATTTTTAAATTCTAATAGAATA